ACCTTCCAGAGAGGCTCCCCGCAACCTGTCTTTGAATGCCTCTTTGACACTTTTTGCCAAAACACCACTAGTGGAAGATTAGGCTGGCTGGGATGGGATGGAAGGGCAGCCTCCGCCGGGGCACCTGGACTGTTCGGGAGGCTCTTAATTCATGGGGAGCGTCTTTAAGTTCTCTCCATCGCTAGGGCGTACGCGAAGTTGACAAGAACTAACTTGGAATGGAGTGGCCCTCTTTTTTTCTCAGTGTTTCCCTTCCTTCGTTTTGAGACGTTCTGTGGCTCCTGTCAGGTTTCCATCCATCTCTTCATCTCCTTTCTTTTGGCTAAAATGCCATTCTCTTTTGTGTGTGTGTGTGTGTGAAACGCCTTTTCTCTCTGTCTCTCTCTTTCTTTTTGGTGAAGACACACGTGTGCTTTCCAAATCTTTGAACATCCCTTGCTGGTGACAGCATAGTTTTTAAAAGGAAAGAGAGGCCCCGATTCCCAAACAAACAAAATCCAGGAGCCTCTGACCTTTCTGGCCAAGATGCTTAAAGAGAGCTTACAGTATTAACACTAAATTACAGTTTACAGTATTTCTACATGACAGCCATATTTGACGTCAAGCCATTGAGTGTAACCGTGCTTTGCTTGTTTTTAGCTGGCTGGACGTTCTCTTATCAGGCCTGCATCTGTGGGTGGATCTACCCGCCCTGTTTCATCTTCCAGATGCTTCAGTGCTGCCTGAGGAAGTTCCACCTCCTCTCGTTCTTAGCTGTTTTTAGTGGGTGCTCAGCAAGCAGCTCTATGCGTTTCCAAGGATCCAGAGCGAACAAAAGGAGAGGAGGAGGATTTGGAATTTAAATCTGGCACAAGGGGAGACCTGTTAAAAGATAATGTTGTTTGGCTGATGCTGATTCAGGTCTGTATGTCTCATTCTGTCTGGCGTTGTCCAAGACATCTTGAATCTTCCCTTAGAGAAGAGAAGAAGAGGTGGGCGGTGTTCCTCTGCCTTTTCCTCAGGGATCACGCTGCCATTGTGCTCATGACCCAAGCTTTTCTACCACTCTGTAAGGTGATCAGCTCTTTTCCCCTCTGCCCTGTGCTCCTTCTTTGCCTTGATTGGCAGCGGGGCCTTGCTGTGTCGGCAGCTCTTTGCAGAAGTGAAACACTCTGGATTGGTAAAGAAAGCCCCAAATGTGAAAAGTTGTTGTGAACAGCCTTTAAAAAAAATAATAGTAACAACAGAACACAGCAGAATCTGGCACTTGTATGCTAAAATAAGCTCTGTTGATCTTTCACATCTGATTTGCCTGGAGAATGTCGTCATGGCTAATTAAACAATATGTCCCACCCCCTGAGGCTTTTTTGTTTGAACGAATCATGACTGTTGGAAATTCATGGCTGTTTTCTTCCTTGAATTATGTTTTCACATCCCGCTGTTGTTCATTGAAAGCTCCCTCTAGATGAAAACTAGGCTTTGATTGCTCCCGTTGGATAAATGGCAGCTGTCACCATCCCCTTTGGAAACGGAGCATCTTGTTTGACGTAGTGGTGTTGTGGGTGGGCTAGGGTGGATAACCACAAACCTCAGTGGTGGAGCAAGCTTCCCTAGCAGTCGGAGGGTGCCGTAGAACATCAGGAGCGTAAAATGCCCGGGTTGATCTTGGCGAAATCGGTAGTGATTTGGTGTCAATGCAGAGAGATGCTTTTTTAAACAAACACACACCTTTGTTGTACTTTATTGCAGCTTGGCAGTTTGGCTTTGGTGACTTCGATGCAGGCCACCACAGTAAAGTGTCACACCAGGAGCCTGGTTCTTGCGTCCGACAGGATTTCCTGAGGAGCCGAGAGGCTAGCAGGTTGGGTTTGAGGGGGACGATGAAACCTCTCGGAAATATTGTGGACTGGAAAGACATTTGTAGGCTTCTCTTTCTTTCGCAGTCACCGTCGTGTGAGCTGTGCGTGTTTGTCCCTGGCTTTGATTTGGAAGTGGTTTACTGGAATTACACAACCTTCCTTACGATTTCCCCATACACCCCCCCTTCCCCAAGCTTTTTAGCTCTTGCTGCTTTAGGAAAACTTTTTTGCAGGGGAATAAAAAGATCGCACAAGAGGGCTAAATTCGGAGTGGGGGGTTGGGGACTTGTGAGCAGCTTGAATGGTTTCAATTTTTTTTGTTATGTTTTGTTCAAAGAAATGCACTTGCCGATGATACCTGTCTCTCCAGTGAAATGAATTAACTGCTCCATTACTCTATTGATACAATATTGTGCATGCTGGTGTTGTATTTCTATAAGGTAGCTTGAAATTTATTAACTTATACTGTAGATGTTATGTATTCCTATGACAATAGTCTTCAACAATTTTTTTAAAGTTTTTTTTTAATTTATTTTATTTTATTTTTCCTTTTGGGGTGGGTGGGTGACGTTTGCTCTACCAAATAGTGATCGTAACAAAACTGATCTGTTATGGATGTTGCTATAGTGACATGCAATTATATATGATTTTGGGATTTTTTTTTAAAGGAAAGCAAAAGAAAACACCAGTGTTAGCTTAATCTTAATGTCTGGTGTTCGTCATGGTGACATTATAACTATTACAGTGTAGGGGGGAAAATGACTATGTTCTTTGAATGAGCCTTTGTTTGTGCTTTTTCTGTCATGTTATGCAGTGAACTCTTTTTAAGGTCTAATCAGTGATATTTTTTTTCCAACTCCGTGTTTCTGTAAGGAATTATTTCACACACGGACCATTCTTAGCAGTTTTTCCTCAGTGATGGAATATCATGAATGTGAGTCATTATGTAGCCGTTGTACATTGAGTAAATAAACTTACAGATCTGATGTCAGTGTGACTTCCTGGTGGGTCTTGTGTTCGCGTCTGCTTCTGTTCTTGATAGTGAGGGATGAGCTGGGGTGGAGGTGTCTTTCTCGGGTCCCCCAAGTGTAGAGCTTGTCAGAAGCTTCTACCTAGTCCTTGAATACCCTTTGAAGAATATGGAGACCAGAGATAGATGTTGGAGGTGGCTCTTACAGCTGTGGATTACTTGAAAAAAAAGGCTGAGTATCATTCATCAGTACCAGTCTGTAAACTGGGCTAGTACTGGTCGGGAGGTGGTGACCGCTTCAACCATGGAGTCCTTTAAGGGGAAATCAAAGCAGATCTGTCAGATCTGCTTTGATTTGTTTTCCTGCCCTGAGCAGGGGGTCGGACTTGATGGCCTTAGAGACCCCCTTGAACTCTTACGATTCAAAGCTTTCTGCTCTCGAGCCCAACTTGTCCTTACCTGCCCTGCTGAGTGTTAGTGGTTCCTTCGCCTTTTCTTCTTCCAAGGATGGCTGTTGGCAGCTGAGCTCCAGGATCCAGGCAAGAGAAAAGCTATGCCCTCAAAGGAGGCTGCCAGGAATCAAGGCTTGGCACATGCTCTTTCAAGACCCCTCCAACTGGTGTGGCCCTTAATGGACTCGGGAGGTAAGCCTTCCACGCATGCTGTGGCCAAATTTAGTTCAGTGGTTGAGTCTCGTTTGAGGAGTGGGGGGGGGCAGCGTGTGGCCCTCTGGATCTCTCATCAGCCATAGACTGTGAGGAAAAATGCCGGGAGGTGCCGTGCACCGCCACCACAACATGTCAGGCAGGTTGCACTGAGAGCTGCCTTCGGCTTCCTCTTGCCAAGGGTGTCTTATCTTCCCAGCTGGGAATAGGCATGTCATTTCCTTATTTAATATCAGGAGATTTGGAAGCTGGGATAAAGGAGAGAGTTAGCACTGTATCTCTCCCACCCCCCACTTTCCTGTAAGGCAGAAAACTCTGGAACAAATTATCTGGCTTTACAATTGGCTATTTGGAGTCTTTGGCAGCCAGCATCATCCTCTTAAAACAAACAAACAAACGAAAAAAAAAGGGTCATGCAGCTCGCTTATTTGGGGACACCAGATGCCCCACATTGTTTGGAGTCGGGGTGCATGGGATATTGAACTACATCTCCCGTCATCCCTGATAAGTGGGCACACTAGCTACGGCTGCTGGGAGATGGAATTCAGCTTGTGAAATATCCTGCAGGATGAAGGTCTCACTAGGACCAAAGAAAAAACTTTCTGCTTTTTAAGAAACCGGAAGGCTTCTGCTTGATTCCCCGGTGGTAGCTGTGAACCAGCTTGGTGATTACAGCTATGCTGACCGAGCGGTTTAGGACTATATGGTGTGAAGTTGCAGAAGATCGCATCAGCTGCAATCTAGAGATTTTTAAGGTAGATTTTCTGACTGCAGAAATGCCCCCTCAGGTATTCCATGCATAATGAAAAAAGCAGGAGGACACAAGTGCCTCTTGCTTACATCCTGGGCTGCTGGCAGTTTTACTCTTTCTTATCTACTAGGTAGGGATAATTTGTTTCTCTTATTTGCCTGATTAGTTCACTAACAACGAAACCCCTCCATTGCAGCTTCCTCCTGGAAGTCTGTGCCTGTTTTCTCACCCAGAATCCCCGTGAGTTTTGAATCCCTTTAAAGCTGCAAAGGCTTCTTTCTGCCTTTGCTGCTAAAAAAAATCCATTCCTGTGCATGAACATTGGTGCATAATGTGTGGAAGTATTTCCCACTATGTACTGATCCAAAAAGTGTGCTGTTGGAAATAATATTTCTTTTCAATTTCTGAAAAAAAAAACACATTTAAAAAAAAAATTACATTTAAAGGGGAAACAAGCCTGGAGTTTTTTCACGCATTTGGCAGCTTTCCCCCCTTAATTGGTTAGAGAGGGAATATCCTTTTTAAAGCTCTTCCTTCTTTCAAGATTGGCAGATATTAGCCATTTTTACTGTCCGCCTCTGTGTAGGAATGGGCTGCTAATAAGAGATGGATTTCTCATGGGATCTCCCTGTTTAAGAGCTCCAAAATGTGACCATTAATTAGTTTGCCCTTGGTGACAGATGGTTTCTGCTCCTTAAATGGCTCACCCACCTTGAACAGGCTCCT